TTTGATTTTTCGGTTTTGATTATGTTAAAATCATAGATTTAGGAAGAACAGATATCACATTATGCATTTTAACCCGATCAAACATTCGGAGGTTGACTACGTACTGTAAAAATCAACTGAGATAGAGAAGGCGACATTGCCACATATCAAATTTGCGCCTATCTACTTAGTTTGATTTGCAGAAAAGGTGACTTTAAAACCTTCACCGGATATCAATAAATCTCAATTTCTTAATTAAATTAATAGTTTATTTTTAAAGAAGCATGCGTAATAATATGTTATTAACCAGAGGATATATGCGTTACTATTAAAAGACATGTTTACTGTTTAATGTGCTGAAACGTCTAGAACTACTGGCAACGTCGCTGCTAGTCTTGCCGAATGAAATGAGCCGTCCGTCCCACCGCCCCTCGCGACGGCCAATGGTCCGTTATAGCGTACTACGTTTAGCTTACGGTGTGTTTGAAGTCGGAATCAAGTCCGAAGTGAACTTTTCAGTGTTTTTCAGTAGTTTTTGTTTTTGTTTAATGTACTTTTGAATCTGCGAATTTTCAATATGGTACGACAGTGCCAAATGTGTGGACAAATAAGCTCAAATTACCCGAATTTGTCTTTTCACAGGTAGGTATTGTTTCCGCCGCGCCGTAATCGTACATAGGCGTCCCACAAGGGAGCCTTTCACAATTAAAATAATTTCTAATTATATTTGTTGAATTTTGATCTATTAAAACAAGAACGTAGTAGCCGGTAATTGAATTATAATTCGTCTCATTACTACCTAACTGTTGTAGATCATAAAAAATTTGAATATAAACGTTACATTTGAAACTTTATTATAAGCCAGAAAGTGGCATTTTTTCTTAAAATTGCGTCTTATTTTGGTCATTATATACGATATTCTAAAGGAATTTTGCTTAATAAATAAACAAAGGTGTTTACCCGACCTTTTTACATTTTATTAGCTTTATTATATCTGCCCCTTCGGCCTTGTTTAGACAATTTTTTACCACCGTACAAATACATCTTCCCAGAGTTATTTGTACGGGTGTTTAACTTTTTTAGAATGGGACGAGCTGTAAATAATTCTTAGGCTACTAGTTTTATACATATCTATATCAAAAAAGCTTTTTACCTATTACGTTTTTGGTTTGTGATTTTTATTTCAATTTTTTTACATAAGATGGGGGCCATTGTAACGCACATTTTCAAAATTTTGTGTCAACATACAGGGTGATTCAAACCGCAATACATATGCTTAATACAGTTCATGAAGATTAGGACATTTAACTAAAATTTGATTATCTGATGAAGCTACCTTTAAAAGTAATGGATTTGTAAATAAACGTAATAGGTATTTATTATTATGCGACAGAAATCCCGTACTGTAGCACACAGATTTTATACTTTTAATGATAAATGCCTTCTATTGCGCGACTAAAAGGCAATTGCCTCGTATCAGAGCCATCATAATACAAGAAGAAGACCGAAAGTCAAATATTGTCTTATATTTTCAAAAAAAACACAATTTTCTCATTAAATATTGATTTTAGGTATAGGAAGTTATTAATAATACAAGATTAAACAACTATTACACAGTACTTCACAGGAAGCTATCGATTGCGAACTAACTCAATCGTTACTAATTAGGTACTAATTTTGAAAAGTTCTTTTTAAGATAAAAACGGTAAAACTAAAACCTAAAATATCATTTGAGATTCAACGGGAAGTTCTAAATAATGTTGCCTCTTCTAAACAAGAAAAATGTATTTATAAGTTAAGTTTTAAAACATTCCTAATTAAATTTGGGCGAAAAGAATATTTCTGTTTGCTGTAGATAATTTTCTCAGGGAAAATACGTAAATAAAAATGACTTTTTAAGCGAAAAAAAGTCAAAAGGACAAGTTATTCCAAAAAAGGACTGTCCTTTTCAAAAAAGGATAAGTGGCAACCCTAGGTATTTCTGGAATGGAAATTTCATGGCAAATCTACAACTTTGGTTAGAAAATATGTTCCGGCCACCTATGTTTACAAAAATGTCTAAAATGTGCCTAAATGCCTCCATATTCTGAAAAAAAAATTGAAAGAAAAGTCACCAACCACAAACCTAATATAGAACTATTTCGGAAGCCTGAGTCACCCTGTAAATATTCAAAAGTAACTGAAAGTTTATATAAGAGTAACTGAAAGTTTAAATTGAAAATTGACGTTGGAGCGATTTTCGAAAACTACTAACGTTTCAACATAAGTATATGTGGGATATTAATTGTATTATTATATTAGACCTTATAACAAAACTCATCTGACGAAAAAGTGTTAATGTAGTATATTAATATGGAGTAAAAATTTTACTAATTACTTTATTTTTACGTTACTAATTAAATTCGTTCCAAAAAACGATACGCCACTGGCCATTAGAACAATCCCAAATGCGCCTATTTGCCGGGGTCGGAAATTTTAGGCTTCTCTGTCTCTTTTGTCCTTGTTTGACACATTGGAATATTTGATACACTACCAACGAGTATTTATGAATGAGATGTTCGGTCTATCTTTATAATGTCTTTGGTTAAAATTAATTTTGAAGTATTGTATCACCTGTATTTATGTAATAGTACTTTTTTTAGTTCTATGATCTGATATGTTATGATTTGTTAATATCTGTTTAACAATGTTATACCAAAGAGGTTATACTTAATATATCAATTTGCTTAGCCTAACTTTTTTATCAATAAACTTTGTAGATTTTCAGATTATTTAATTCCTTTTGTTTCCGTTTGTAATTTTATTTTTAAGACATATTATGTGATTGTTTCAGATAATATGTTTTAAAAATAAAATTGCAAATAGCGAATAAAAATAATTAAAATAAAAAAGTGTATTTTACAATTCCCCCCGGCCCCGCACCCCTTTGGCTAATCTGTAAATGTCAGCTTTGTCGAGAGATGGCGTTACGAAAATGGAACTGATTTATTACAAGGAACTTGGGCTTCTTTTTCGTTAATATATTCTGTGGCAAAACCCAAACATCAGATTTCCCTAACGAACTACAAAACTTTTGAACGCGGATTGCCTTTATGCAAAACGAAATTCAGTTAAATTAAAATTAAAGATGAATGATAACAATTACTTAATGAAGTAAAACCAAAGAGCTTCAAACTTTGAACATTAATAAAAGGACCTGAAAACTGATTAATATAAACCGAGAAAATTAATAATATTGAAGTTTATCAAAAGCTCAGTTATAGTTATTATAATAATTAATCAAATTAATATTCTGTGGAAACCAGCCTCGTATGATTGATGACATTCCCTTCTGCATGTTTTAAAACTACCAGCTGACGTTACAAATGACCCATATATTTTCATAATTAATTATAGAAACACACAGCTCATTTTTTCGTGTTTTCTTCTGTCGTACGTAGGTATAAGCAAAAAATGTAACTTGAAAAATAGATGAACACTAGAAACTAAGAAAATGCAAATAATATGACAGCTTACTACTAATTCCATATAATAAATAGGTGCTAATTAGTCAAATATGGACGCAGTAAACATATCATAATCTGATCCATATTTATCTTAGTTAATTATAGAAACACACAACTATTTTTTTATATCATAGGTATATTATGTTATAGAACTTAGTTTAGGAATTAGACTTATCAACATATCACTAAAAAGAACACAAAATAAAAGAAATAAGGCGAATAAATAGATATACATAATTAATACTAATATGTATGCCCAATATAAAGTTCAAATATACTCTGTTCGTACTCTTTTCTGCTTGCTTGGAACCAGAGACGGAACTAGTTTTTTTTTTAAGGGTTTCAAGTTCGATAGAATTCAGTATTATTCAAGATACCACAATGAATAGAAAAATGAGAAAAAGCGCATATACCGGGTGAGACTCAAAAGTGGCTCACCCCCTATAACTTTTTTATTTTTTCGGATAAAACAACGAGATTTGGTATGTTAGTATATGACATAAATTGGGATTGATTTGACATATTCAATTGTTTTCGGTCACTTCCGGTTTCACCGGAAATGACTACAACTTTTGATTTTTAAATGGCACCCTCGTATTTTTTTACTTTATTTGATAGAAAATGGCACTCTTGTCAACTCTCACATGTCAACTTTTAATATTATTGCATATGGTTTATTTGAAATGGTAACATGCGGTTCATAACGACAATTTGACTCGAAATACCACGTGTGTGGTATCAAATTATTCGTAAAAAAATGCTTTTTCCAAATATGCTAATGAGCCACCATCATTCCATTTGAAAAAATTGAGATATGATCAAAAATACGATTTGGGCATCTTTTAACCGGCCAGGACAAGACACTAAAAACATTAGACGATCAAATCTATTTTTCCAGGGCTCCTTGATTAAAATTAACGATTAGTAACTAGTGATTTTAACACAACCATGGCACTTCAAGATTGAAATTTAAATTACAGTTTGTTTTTATACGTCATTCTATTTAGAATGTCATTTTTTATCGAATAAAATAAAAAAAATACCGAGGGTGACATTTAAAAATCAAAAGTTGTAGTCATTTCCGGTGAAACAGGAAGTGACCAAAAACCATTGAATACGTCAATCAATCCTAATTTATGTCATATACTAACATACCAAATCTCGTTTTTTTTATTTGAAAAAATAAAAAATAAAAAAGTTATAGGGGTGAACCACTTTTGAGACGCACCCGGTATTATAGCACGGTCCACTTAATTTTATTAAAAAGGTCGTGCTGTGGTTACCAAAAATCAACATTTCGGCTAATTTTTGTTTCTGTCGATTGTAAGTCGGTAATATTTCTTTCCGGGAAAAAAATCTTTGGTCAATTGTTGGTCAATTTTCTTAGATTCCTTTGTATACTCCGGCAGATCCGTCTCTGCTTGAAACCTGCCATCTCCCGTTAAAAATTACCCACATTTTTCTTTTAATTAATTTTAAGAACCATTTAATTTTTTCAATTTTTTTCTTTGACAGGTCTTGGTGAGAAATGCGCCCATCACGGCGAATGTTCCGGAACGGTTTTCGCCGATTGCGTGCTCGGCATCTGCATGTGCAGAGATAACTACGTGAAGAACAGCGTTGCCAACAAGTGTCTGGATATCGTGACGAAAATCAACGGCCCGTGTTACGAGGATGTGCAGTGTTCGCACAAGTTTGGCAAGGCGGAGTGCAAGGAAGGACACTGTCAGTGCGAAGAACTGTACGAGTACAAGTTTAAGAAGGATATGTGCGTTAGGGATATGCGTGAGTACTTTATTTTTTCAAAATATCAAAAGGATCGAGAAAAAAGTGTTACAGTGTCTTTGGAAATGATAATTAATCAACGAGAATGATGACTCTCATTTCAACATAATTTTATTAATAAAACATATAATTTAGGTATATACAGGGTAGTCCGAACTGTATTCTGGAAACTTCATCTAAATGTATGTCCTTAAATGCTTAGTTTCGGAGATATACAGGGTGTCGAAGTTTCATTTTTATTTCGTTTTTTTTCCAAATAATTTCTGAAATAACGTTAATATTTCGATGAAAATTGGTGTATGGAAGTTTTTTGACATGAGAAATTTGATTTTGATGTCAATATGACTCCTACTTGTAGGGGGCACCACCTACATGTGTTTTAACTGTTTTGAACAGTAATAACTTTTCGTCCGTACCTGTATAAAACTACTGAGTAAAAAAATCTACATTTCCGTGATTTTTTACGTAAAAAAGGTCTCTAGGTAAAAATCGCTACGAGTAATAGGTCTTCAGATATTTGGAATCGAAATTATCAATACCTATTCATTCTCATTGATATAAATTAAACATATGTTACAAAATAGTTGTTAGACTGAAATCATATACATACACTTGTTTTTCTAAACTGCTGTTCTAAAATTGGATTTTTTTTTAAATTCTTTAACTTAAAGTTCTTTTAAGATAATTCTCAAAAATCTGACTAGTGGATTTAAAGTTTAGTTGCACAACGGGAAAAAAGACCTAAAACCGATTTTTTACTATCTGGATTAAGCAGCCTTTTTAAAAATAGAACATTTTACAACTTTTTAATGTGTCTGGTAGGATTTGGTTTTAATTAAAAAAGAAAGTTAACACTTGATTTTAAACGATTTTTCGAGTGGATCCCTGTGTAAACCATAATGACGAAATGTAGCAAGATAAATGGTAGTTTCTGTAGGTAGATTAGAAGAACGTGACGGTTGTGATGATTTATGCGTTTTTGGTTTGAGAAGAAACGTCACTTTATATGTCTACAAATTATTCCATGCTTGACACGAATAGTTTTTTTTGTGCTACTAAAATAAAAAATAACTTAACAGAATAAAGGTATTTGAAAATGTTGTATTTTTGTCCCGTTTGTATCTTGCTTATTATCTTATAACTTATCCAAAAGGTATAGTCTGTGAAACGAATAACTTTGAATTTGACAGTTCATGCGGGCTTTTCTAGTGTTAATTTTATTAGGTTAGCAACTTTGAATAAGAAGTCTAAGGAAGGAGCATAATGCTATCCATGTATTCATGCATGGTGGTCGGAAAAGCCACCATAAAAGCTCTCTAGGGTGGGGATCCTTGACAGTTCTGTTTGACGATTCATTTGACACATTTGAATTTGATTTGAAATTTTGTGGATTTGTCAGTCTTTACGGAGCTTATTTTATGTTATTTATTATTTATTCTACTACTGATAGTTGTATAAAGGTAGTAAATCTAGATGGAAATTGTGGCAGAACTTAAATTAACAGTGACACTATCGCGATTTATCGAAAAAGACTCTAAAATAGTTGGTTGTGTAGCGTGCGGTAGATCTCGGCAAAAACTGAGTGAAATAATGGAACACCTTTTCGCTAGTAAGTGACTATATAATATACATACGTGTAGTAAACCGATCATTTATGAAATTCACTTAAATTAACTAAATTATATATTTTTCTTGCATTTTAGCTTTTTATTTATTACTTGTCAAAGATTAGATGTCAAAGAATTTAGATACGTTAATTTGACTTACCTGCTTCAGTAGCGTATCGGATGTTTGTGTTAATAAACTTATTAGAACTTATCTATTTTTATTAGAATTATATATTTTTATAACAATTTTAATAACTACCAACATTTATTCACAACGTAAAATAAAACAACAAATTATTGAGTCTACCCCACGTCTACCCTACATCATAGTTTTACATTTTTTAAATAAAATTAGAACGACACTGATAAACCGGAATTTAAGTCGGCCATATTTGAGGCCCATCGCGGTGTACCTAAGATTTTTGATATGCTCCTTCCTTAGTCTTCTTATTCAAAGGTTAGCAACTTGCGGCCATGCTGATGCAATGCCGTCTCTAATAGAACAGCCCCGAAGCGAGATTTATGACGTCACGCTAGTTAGATACTAAGGATTAATTATGTTGTAGAATGCATGGAAAACATAATTATTCCTGGTATATGTAATTTTTTGTCACCTGTTTTATTATTTTCCTTTTCTATTTCACGAAAGTAAAAAGAGTTACCTATCTGATTCGACCAGACACTCATTTTAAAGAGTATCAGTAACTTTTTGGATAGAGGGCTTTTATATTTGCCATGTTGGTAAAAAATAACGGTCAAAATTCAAAGTTATTCATTTTATAGAGTATAAAACTGAGTTCTGTAGAGTTTTTCGCGTAAATCCAGTGAAAATACTGTTTTTTATGGAAGCTGTAATTTCAATGTTTTTTTTTAATAAGACACCTTGTATATTAATATACACCTTGTAAATTTATACGGGGGTATCAAAAATTGATGATCTATTTTAAATATTAATTTTACATAAAAACTTCCTTATTTTAAATGTAAAACCCTCTATTTTTTAAATAAATCGAAGGAGATTCAAATGCTCCTTCAAACTATATTAGGATTTCCTATACCTATCTCAAGAACGGTAAACTAATAGGACTGCTCATCCTCTTAAGACGTACGTTCGCCTCTTCCCGCGCTTCAGCTGACAGTTGTGACGTCATTGTAGTCCTTGTCAAAGCCTTCGTGGCCTTGTCATGATAGAGTGTATTATTAGTTGCCTATGGTAAACTTATAAAAATAACAACTGAGAAATTTTTAGTTAATTATTTTGTCAATTTTAAATGCGAAAAAGGTGTCTTTAAAGTTTTTAGAGCTATAGAGTGTATAAATACGTTCATTTTGTGTTGTGGATTGTGACAAAGTGCATACTAAGTGCCCACGATTTTGTTTATTAATTATTTTAAAGCAAAATATGGAAGTACTCTAAAAAGAATGCTTGCAAAAGGTGATACACTGGGAACTGCTGTTCTTAAAAATGCATTATCCGAGTATTTAATACGATTTATACAGTTAATTTTCTATACTGCATACATATAAGGTGTTTAAATAAATAAACTAAATAATGAACGTTTTGCATTCGGTAACCAATAATGCACGTGTGTGTATTATTGGTTGCCGGATAAGGACTAATAACCATGACAAGGGCTACAATGACGTCACAAAGCGAGTAGTTTTCGCATGCACCTGGCGGACACTTTTGGCTGAATGAGCAGTCCTATTAGGTTAACTGTTCTTGTACCTATCTAGCTCAGATTTTGAATAAAAAGCGATTATTATTTATTACACTATTACAGGTAAATTAAATAAAAGTAAACTGGTGTAAATTAAAATAAACTCAATAATAATAACAGCTCCCGTATATAGCGTTTAACGCCTTGGGAGTAGCAAGGTACAGCTTGCCATACTAGAGCCGTTCGTTATACAAGGAAGGTAATGTGGCTAGCACTACGCTTCAACCGCCTATTATTACCTCAGGATTGTGAATCCCAAACTATTTTTATTTTATTAAAAATAGTCGGCTGATGAAATGCCGGCTGTAGGATTCGAACCCACAACCTTTGAATTGGTAGACGAGAGCTGTACCTCTACCCCACCGGGCATCTTAAAAATAAAGTCCATAAACTAATTTCGACTTTGAAAATTGCTACTAATTGTCACTAGAAACTTGCCATGACCACACCAGCCCTCTTGGTTGCCATTTTATTGAAAAATTGATCTTCATTCAAAAGCTGAGCTAGATAGATATAGGAAATCCTAATATAGTTTGAAAGAGCATTTAAATCTGTTTCGACTTATTTTAAAAAATACACAGTATTGCATTTGAAATAACGATGTTTTTATGTAAAATAAATAGTATTTTGATTTTTTACTATGAATTTATTTCTAAAAAACTGTCACCGCAACTGTGTTCCTTTCACATTACTACTAATGTTTCTAAATTACTATTTTTTTTTCAGTGTTAGGGGAGATATGTATTAACCACACAGACTGTCATGGGATAGAACCAGGACCATCAAGGTTAGAGTGCATTTTAGGCGAATGTAAATGCCAATCTGAATACGTCGAACATTACGGATTCTGTTCCAGTGAGTTTAAAAAAGGTTGCTATTATACAGGGTGTCCCAGAAATCAGAAATAAGTGCAAGTATTTTAAGGGGTAGTAGGTCTGGTCAAAAGAAACATTTTTTCTCTTTACCATTTTCCAAATTAGTCCAAAATAACCGAGCTATTTTACTTTGAAAATTTAAACAAAAAATGCTTTTTGCTTAAATTTTGAGAACCATGGATCTTTTCTGGATTTTCTTTCGTGTAAATTTAATCTACTATCTATGTTGCCATATTATAAAGAAATTATGTTTTTTAACTTAAAACTAAAAAAAAAATTCAAATTTTCAAATTCTTTATTCTTTTGCGCAAGGCGTGTTTCTGAGGCCGAAATATACTACCAGTTAAAATACTAGCACTTATTTCTGGGACACCCTGTATACTGAGTGACAAAAAAGGAGAACACCTATATAATATGTTGATCAATATTTGATATTTTTTGCTGGCTGTCAGGAGCTGCCATAATGTACAGTGTACACCAAACATTATTAAAATCTTATGAATATATAAGTTGTTCTCCTTTTTTTGTCACACAGTATAGTTGCGAAATCCAGGTCAGAGGAGTATGAAACGTGCTACTTTAAATCAAAATTAAAAAAAAATTATACAAACCTTGGAAGATATTTTTCATTACTGCCTCGAATATGATATTTTTGTATTGATATTTTATCTTATTTACAGGTGATGGTTTCAGAACCTCCAACATTGTCGAACTCACATTGCTCTGTATTGTTGTTGTCTGTTGGTTCATTTTCTCCGAGACTGTGGTCGTTGCATGGATAGCACTAGCCCTGGCAATTTTCTATATGTTCTGGATCATGATCATAGGAAACTACTTCTTCGACAACAATAATTACATGTGGAGGCCCGAGAGGAATGATTAAATTTTAAGATATACTTTTTTATTAGTATTATACAGGGTGGTCGGAATTGTAATCATGAAATTTTTACAACGCATTCTGAAGATAAAATTAAGCAAAAGTTCTCAACCTGTATAATTTTTTTATTTTTTTTGTTCTTGTTTTATGTCTGTTTTTGATCTGTTATTTATGTATTATTGGTAAAATTATTACCCCTTATTTTTTTAAATACGAAAGTTTATTCAATATATACAGGGATGCTGAAAATTTAAGACTTTTAGTATATTTTTATTTATATTTGTATAAAATTTTATGTCCCTTGTATATTTTTAAATGGATTTTTATACGTGTACAGTAAAATTTTATGTATACATATGTTGTTAAAATTATATTATTCATTCTTTTTATTGGTTTAAATACAATAGTTTGTGATTTTACATTTGCCTTTTATTTAAATTAAACTCAAAAAGAAACTACCGTATTATCGAAAAAAAAACAACAACAAAGACAGCTGGGGTATGACAATCGATGCTTATTTTGGCGAAGTCAATCTCTAGACCTACTCATTTACTAAAAATTAACACAAAACTTGTCAAAAAATTAACACTAATTACAGATCAAAAAAGGATGGCACGTTTCCAGACACAAGAGTACAGGCCAAGTAAATGAAGTCTAAGGGTTGACTTCGCCAAAATTATCATTGATTGTCATTCGCTAGCCTTCTTTGACGCCGTTTTTTTTAAATCGTATGGTAGTTAGACAGACAGGAACATTGAATATTTATTATTTTTTTCTTTTAAAATGCGAAAGTAAATATTTTCGGCGTATTTTTAAAAGCTTTTTTTAATAATTTTAAAACCGTGACAAACAGTAACAATAATGAATTTATTAATTAAACAATTTTTTCCATGTTGTCAAATTTTTCTATATATAGATCTAAAGATTTAAAGAAAAAATACTGTTCGAGTAATATAATCAGTAAATTACTCTTAAGTTAAAGTTTTATAATATTCAAAAGTGAGATAATATCGCCAATATCTTATATTTAATTCCTGCAGTTTTTGTAATATAACCGTGCTTTCGCCATTTCATCAAGAAACATCAAGATATTAAAATTAATTATTTGATGGCATGTTTGTTTTTTGAACTTTACTAAACACAATGCTACAATTGATAAAATTGCAGGTAAAACTTCTAGTGTATTATATGCTAATTTTTCAACCGTCTTACCTGCCGAGTAAAACGTCACGTGTAGATGAGTCTTTCCTATGATAATTTTGACAGATTATGTAGGTAATAGTCTTAAGCTGCTTTTAAAGCAAATTTTCAAAATATAATGATGCAGAAAGATTGTAAAAAAGCGTAAAACGTTTTTTTGTTCGAAAAACCTAAGAAAAATAATTTATTAAATAAAATTAATTTTACTTTATATATTTTAATTAATATATTTATAAAAGGTATTATTACACAAAAAATAAAACATAAAAAATATAACGTCAATAAAACAACAGAATATAAAAGTTTGTCTTGCCCTTTGGTCGTATTCATGCAAAAAAAAATATGTTTATCCCTTCACCATTTTATCAATAAATATCTACCAAATTTAAAAAATATATCTATAAAGTCTATAACGTTTTTTTAATACTAAAATATTAATAAAAACTAGGATAAAAAATAATGTACTAAAGTAAAATTTTATCTCAATGTTATAAAAAAAATTACATTAATTTTAAAAATTTCCTCGTAAATCTAGAGGCTAATTATCGTAAAAATTTTAATTTTATTAAAATATCCAAAATATTTATAAATAAAATATTTTTTTTGCTATTGAAATATTAATACTACTCGCAGATCTACAACTAATAAATATCTATATACGTTTAAAAATGAAAAAAAAAACAAATAAAAAATACATTCTTAAACTCCCCATAAAAACTAAACATATTTTAATGCAACAACTTTACTATTTCACTTGGTTTGGAATAAATTCATTGTTTGTGAAGTCTGTATACATCGTACATGATCAAGATGTATATTAGATCGTCCTGTTTGTGTTTTATTTTACTATATGTTTTTACAATTTCTTGTGCAGGTGCATATGCACAAGAAACACAAGAGGCAAAATGTGACGCCCTAGGTAAGCAATATTTTATAGCATATTTACTATAATGAAGGGTCCAGGGGAAAACATGATAAACGCCATTTTACTAATTTTACAGGAGAGCATCGTACGGCTGGTGGTTATCAAGTTCTTTCTGTTTATTCTATATTTTTACTAGAGACCTACAGCATTATATTGTATTTTTACTAGACCTACAGCATTATATTGTAAAATCCTAAAATTAAGAAATTGGTGTTATTCCCCTGGACCCTTCAGCCATTAGCGTAACTAGCAATTTATCCTGGGGGGCCTGGGGGGGCCTGGGGTTGAGCCCAGGGGGGGGGCTAGGGCTTTTTTTTTTTTTAAATGAAAAATAATATTAAAAAACACATTTTTTGAATAAAACATTTACATGAATTTCTCTATCAATAAATTTCAACGACTTGATTATCAAACCGTGTTCCCGTAGATTACTTAAATACCTACAAATTTTCTAAAAAAATAAAAATTAACTCATATATTTTAACTGAATGACATTTTATCAACAATATTTCTTTTATGTGAAAAGAAAATTGCATTTTTTAATTATTTCTTTGTTTTTTGGAAATTCCAGAGAACACATTCTTAATTAGGAGGCTGACAAAGAAGATTATCAATCCAACTGAAAAATGTATACCTGGAAACTGCTTATGCGAGGAAGAGAAGCCATATTGTACAAGTAAATATACAGGGTTGTTCACCACATACGACACGGAGTATTGTAGCTAAACGATGAGATTTTACAAATTGTAAGTCTTGGGTTCGATGAAGGACTATTAGAGGTACAATTTAAAAATAATTTTACAAGATACAGAGTGTCCCAAATAAGTAAAAAATATCAAAGTTGTATTTTTTTAAATGGAACACCCTGTATATTATTACATTTTTAGTTTCTATGATTAAAATAAAGGTAAATTTGATTAAGGTTTATTATACTTAAACCTTACCGTTTTTGAAATATTTTCAATTTTGTGAAATTGCAGTAAAAATTTTAAGGCTTCATTTCTCCAAGGGTATCAAAGTTTTTAATACTAAATATTTACTGGTTTATTTACTGATCAGTTATTGTGTTGCAATAATAAAAATAATACTACCTTATACAGAGTGTCTAAAAATTTATTTTAAATAATTATTAGCTTCAAACGGTAATAACTTGTTTAATTTAAATAGACTGTATATTTTACGAGAATCAGATGCACAATTTAATTGTCTATCAAATTATATTATACCATTTTTTACCTATCTGTTTAAGTTTCCGTAGAAAATGCATTTTCTTGTAATTTAGAACTTATTTATCAATATACCCATGGACTATTGACATTTTAGATTATTTTTAAAGATGTACCAAATTTTTAAAGAGTACAGATAGTAATATTGTCGATATAATTCGTTTATTTCATTGAAAAATAAAAAAAAAGTGTTTAAATATTTGTTAAAGAGGATCAATTAATATGATTCCAGTATTCAAACTACATTAACTGACTGTTTGCGTTGATTAATAATAATTGCTCCAAATACTAAAAAACTGAATTTTGTATGGGCATTAGACAGTGTGATAAAAAGTAACACCTTAAAAATGATATTTCATTTTTTAATAAATGCTTATTTATAACAACAGAGACTTTAATTTTGATAACTTACTATTATATTGATTTCTGACTCAAATCCATATTTATTTAGAATAATTTATTAACGAATACAATTAAGTATGTAATTAATTAGTATACGGGCGGAAATAATGGTGCTATATTTAATTAATGGCATACTCTTTTATAAAGATTTAAATAGTTTTCTTTTTGCATACAACATTATTGTTTTTAGCAAAACGATATTACTAGAATGTCAATATATGATGTCAATATTCCATAGGTGTCAATAATAGAATGTCAATATTCCATGGGTATATTGATGAATGAGGTCTAAATTATAAGAAAATGCATTTTCTACGAAAACTTGAAGGGATAGGTAAAAATGGTATAATACAATTTGATAGACAATTAAATTGTGCATCTGATTCTCCTAAAATATACAGGGCGTTCCATTTAAATTAAACAAGTTATTGGCGTTTAAAGCTATAAATTATTTAAAATAAATTTTTAGACACTCTGTATAAGGTAGTATTATTTTATTATTGCAACACAATAACTGATCAATAAATAAACTTCAGTAAATATTTAGTATTAAAACTTTGATACCCTTGGAGAAATGAAGCCTTAAAATTTTACTGCAATTTCACAAAATTGAAAATATTTCAAAAACAGTAAGGTTTAAGTGTAATAAACCTTAATCAAATTTACCTTTATTTTAATCGTAGAAACTAAAAATGTAATAATATACAGGGTGTTCTATTTAAAAAAATACAACTTTGATATTTTTTACTTATTTGGGACACTCTGTATCTTGTAAATTATTTTTAAATTGTACCTCTAATAGTCCTTCATCGAATCCAAAACTTGAAATTTGTAAAAATATAATCGTTTAGCTACAATACTCCGTGTCGTATGTGGTGAACAACCCTGTATAGTATATATTATTTATTAAGTTATTTTTAGTATACAGGGGGCTCAACAAAAAAAAAACAGGTTTTAAATAAGTACAAATATTTTCAGAGCTGGTAGATCTCGATAAAAAAAATATTTTTTCCCTTCACCGTTTTTCAAATAGGTCCAAAATAACCAAGTTATTTTACTTTGAGTATTTCCAAAAATAAAAAAAAATTCTTAAATTTTGAGTACCACTAAATCTTTTCTGGGTTTTCTTTATTGTATTTTTTTAATCTACTACCTCTGTTGCCGTATTATCAAGAAATTATGTTTTTAACCAAAAATAAAAAAAAAATAAAAATTTTCATTTTTTTTCGCAAAAAAACATAATTGAAAGGTTGATACACAGGGTGGTCCGAACTGTATTCCGGAAACTTTGTCAGCATATTCTGCAGATAAAAATAAGTAAAAACGTTCGTATAAATGTATGTCCTAAAATGCTTAGTTTTGGAGATACAGGGTGGTGAAGTTTCATTTTTATTTCGATTTTTCCAAATAATTTCTGAAGTAACGTTAATATTTGGATGAAAATTAGTGTCTGGGAGTTTTTTGACATGGGAGATTTGATTTTGATATCTATATGATTCCTACTTGTAGAGAGCGCCACCTACATATTTTTTAACCGGTCTGAAGAATAATAACTTCTCGTCCGTAATTGTGTAAAACTACTGAGTAAAAAAATATACATTTACTACGTTTTTTACGTAAAGAAGATCTCTTGGTAAAAATCGTTACGAGTAATGGTTCTCGAGATAATTGGAATCGAAATTATCAATACCTGTTATCATTGACAGAATATTAAACAAGTTGACTAAATAGTTATTAGACTGAAAGCATAAATTTGAAAAGTTTTTGTGCCAAAAGTTCAACAGAAACTGTTTTATCATCATTTTTTTGAAGAAAAATTTATGATTAATTTAAAAAAAAATAAAAAGTTCCCAAATTTATCATTTCAGTCAAATAGCTATCTACCAAATATGCTGCCGAAGTATCCGGAATACACCCTGTATAATACCTCTAAAAATATTTGCACTTATTTAAGACTCACCCTGTAATAGTTGTGATTTAACAGATTTAATTTGGAAAAAGAGGAGAATTTGAAAATACTTTTAAAATTAGCTAAATAAAAAAACTTAGAAAGGTGTAGAAAATATTGTATACATATTCACATATTAGAGGTGGAATTGGACATTAGAACGTGCCGTTATACAACCCCCCCCCCCCTTCCCAATTTTTGATAGTTTTTTACAGTTAGTTATGAGCACATTTGAATTTTATTAACAAATTTTGATTTTCTACATGATTTTTTTAAAGGTCAATTTTGACAGATACGGCGCCATCTTGGATTTTTTTAAAGGGACACATATATTTTAGCATTATCCGATAGACAATTTTTAGCTAATTTCAAAAATATATAGTTTAGTATACTTTGTATTCACCGTTTTTGATATACAGTGGGTTGAATAATTATTATATTTTTAGACTCAGTTTAGAATTTTAAAACTGTAAATTGAGTATAAAGATTTAATTTTTACTTGTTAAAAATTGTCTACTAGACGATTCTAAAATATGTGGGAGTTTCCCTTTAAAAAAATTTAAGATGGCGCCGTATTTGTCAAAGTAGACGTCTTAAAAAAAGTTCAGATAGAAAATCGGAATCCTCGCGTAAAATTACGATGAAAAATCTTTTTACTATCGTTAAATAGAAAGCAAAAAAATTGTAAATTGAGTGAGTCACTTAAAATAATGTCCCTGTACTCACAGGCAGGGCCGGCGGAAGGGCCGGGCGACCCGGGCAACCGCCCGGGGCGCCGAATGTGTGGGGCGCCACGTCAGCAACTAAAATATTTTAAAAAAATTGTTCGTGGTATTTTACTTATAACTGAAAAGCCATCAACTTTTTGTAAATAACTCTTCTTTCTATAATTCTTGTTTTTATAAATTTTCTCTAAACAAACTGGTTTGGGTCAAGATCATAGACAAACTAACAAAAGCAAGACTTTTCAAAGGATTGAGGAAGTCGAATTATTGTTTTTGCGCTGGCCAGTTGAGTCAGAAATCATCGCGCAGTCGCACTCGTCAAACCTAACCTAAATAAAACGAAAAACGTTTTTGCCTTGAACCATCCTTGAACGAACTGTTGAATTCCTGATTTTGCGTTTTGTTTGGTTATTACTATTATTTTATTAGCGTACAAAAACGAAAACAAATAATTTAATACATTTTACATTTATGAAGAACATAATAATTACTGTGATTATACATATTATTGTGATTACATCGCTAACGTAGACAAAACGAAGGTCCTACAAATTGACTGTAAGTTATAAGAATCTTTATCTTTTTAATCTTTTTATGATTTGAATTTTCGTGCTTTATATTTTATAATAGACTCCGAAATGTTAATATTTTGCAAATTCTTGTGAAAATGTGAAGTTTATGTTTTTGTTTTATATTTGAAAAAGTTGTATATTTTAAGATGTTTCTTGTTGTTCCTATTATTAATATTATAATATACATAATTATTTTTTGTACCTTTTGAAGAAGAATAATGCTTTTATTTCGTTTACCATAACTGTTGTTTTTTATCATCTTTTTGTTATTTTAATAAGAGGAATACGTTTTCGTTTATTTAACTTTTGTTTTTATATCTGTTATGTCCAGAAGTTATTGTTTATTTTACCGATGGAAATAAATTTATTTGATTTTAATAAACGCTTTTTAATTAAACATCCTTGTCTAAAAGGCTACTTCAAAATACACAATCCATAAGTAAACCGTCCTCGTCTAAAAGGCCAGTTGACGCAAGCGCGGTAATAAACTCTTATCAAACTTGTTACCGTTTTGCAGTACAGCGTTGACGCGTCTTGCTTTTGTTAGTTTGTCTATGGTCAAGATCCAGCAAAATTGACAGTTTTAGACTCCTTGTTGCTCAAAATTGCACTTTGTCTACTACCCACACCCTTTATTTGGTAATGGCTAATCTGCCCTAAAATTATATGAGAAAAATATTCATTCGCAAGAAGCTAAATAGGATCCCGATATCCTTATTATCAAAAAAAAGCTTGTAAATTTGCCTCATTAATTTATTAACAGTAGTGGAAAAAATATCAATCTTTTGGTGATTTTGATTGTTCTGGATTGAATATCTAATAATATATGGTAAATAGTACCAGAATCGTAGAAATTTCTCATTAAAGCAAGACAAATGAATGCATCTCAAATCTCAAACACTGGCTGATCCTCATTTTGAAGCCGACAAAACACCTATACTGGTTCTGCACGAAATAATTTATTGTAAAAAAGAAAAGAATTTTTTTTAAATTCTTATACAAAAATAATGCAATTGCTTGCAACTAAATAGTAATGTTTTCAAAGATCACTTATACTTATCATTTATATACCGGGTGCGTCTCTAAACTGGCTCACTCCTATAACTTGTTTATTTTTTCAGATGAAAAAACGAGATTTGGTATGTTAGTATACGACATAAATTAGGATTAATTGACGTATTCAATTGTTTTTGATCACTTCCTCTTTCACCGGAAATTAATAAAACTTTTAATTTTTAAATGTCAACCTCGCTATATTTCTACTTTATGCGATAGAAAATGACAATCTGAATAGAATGACATAGCATATGTCAACTTTTGACATTTTCACATATGGATTATTTGAAATTGTAACATACAGTTCATAACGACAATTTGACTCGAAATATCAAGTGTGTGGTACAAAATTATTCGTAAAAAATTATTTTTCCAAATATGCAAATGAGCCATTTGTTCCATTTGAAAAAATTGGCATATGATTAAAAATACGATTTGGACATTTTTTAACCGACCAGGACAAGACACGAAAAACATTAGACGATCAAATCTATTTTTCAAGGCTCCTTGTTTAAAAATTAGTGTTTTTAGTACAGCCATGGCACTCTAGATTGAAATTTAAAATACGATTTTTTGAGCAAAAATGTAAAAAGTTGACATATGATATGTCATTCTACTCAGAGTGTCATTTTCTATCGAATAAACCAGAAATATACCGACTGTGCCATTTAAAAATCAATAGTTTCTCGTTGAAACAGGAAGTGATCAAAAACAATTGAATACGTCAATCAATCCTAATTTATGTCATATACTAACATACCAAATTTCATTTTTTATCTAAAAAAATTAAACTTTCGAGATGCACCCGGTATAGAAAAAACAACCGCGGACTAAGATTGAATGAAGAGAAAAATTTTGAAGTACCTTTAAATGAAATTTTATTGTTAAAGTAGCATAAATATGCTTAGTTGTTATGGTAACATATTAACTATTGGGGGGGGGGGCGCCAGGTACGGTATTCGCCCGGTCTCAATATTTCCCTTCCGCCGCCCCTGCTCACAGGAGCATTTCGTACCATTCGCACATTAAGAGTCTATTACGCTGTACTGTTCGGGTCGCTCTCAGTGGTCGGATAAAGCGGGTGTGGCCGAAGGAAATATATATTATATTTCAGAAATCTGCCTAAGGTTTAGCCCGATCCTGTCGTGTTAAGCCACCCAAAATTCCAAACACACGTGCTTTAATTAAGGTTTGCAGAGCTTCGGCATTTGCCATTAAATAGCGAGCAATTTGTTACAAAACCGTATAAATTATATATCACTGTAATCACAAAACTTCAATCTATTTCCGTATTGTAACGGAATTTTAAATTATGTCTTTATTTTCGAGAAACTTTAGTCCAAACATAAGGAATATTTTGTTGATGTTCGACCATCAAAATCTTAAAAATAAAGAAGTTGTCTAAAAATGTGCTACAATACGGATATAGTATAATCCTTTATCTTTAATTTCCTTCTTCGTTTGTGTAAAAATACCTAGCCAGTTTTACATAAAACGTTAAATGTCGAAAGCTTATTATGCTACTTTTTCGGACTAGTGAAATGGACTTTTAATCACTCAAGAATATTGAAAAATCTTCGTTTTTAGATAACGGAGACGATGATTTTTCATCACGAGGCCCATCACAAATTGTCAGAACGTTCTACTACCTCATGATCTTTGGATTCTCCTCCATAATATTCCTGCAATACTACACGAAGATAAGGGAGCCCTGGTGTGAAGATGCGGCCTGGCAGGAAGATTACAAGTTGAAATTTTCACTAGCAAGTGTTTGCGCATGGAATCTAGTGACGGAGGGTATTCTCTTCTTTATACCTAAAACAACGGCGGAGCTGTGAGTATTTTGTTATTTTTAGTGTTGCTTATCTCAAAAGGAAAAAAACGGAACCCTTACAGGATCACTTTGTTGTCTGTCCGTCTCTCTGTCAAAACCCTTTATCTCGGGAACGCGTGGAGGTATCGAGTTGAAATTAAAACTTTATACTCAAATCTACAGTACCTAGAAGTTAACGTAAAAAAAAGATACTACCGTTTATGTCACAAAGAAAACGTATATTTCGACACTCTCAAAAGAATCAAAAGGGTATAGCTGGATTAATATAGGAAATCTGCCCCCGCGGATTTTTTGACTCGCACTCAGGGGATCGATTTGGTGTCGAATCAAAATAATTCACCTAAATTTTTAGCTTTTTAACTCGAACGGTTTTCGAGATTTTCAAAAAAAACTTGTTTTTTCAATTTTATTTTTATACTAAAACTCAAAATTAATTAATGATGATTTTTTTCTAATTCTTAAGAGTCTAAGACATGAAAAAATAATATGATCATGAGTCTTAAACGAAAAGCCAATTTTTAGCGGAGGAAAGAAAATTAAAATCTTCATTTTTTTTAATCTTTGTGAAATATGTCATTAACTAAAAATCGTCAGACAATGTCTTTTATACTTCTTTACACTCAGAAATTTTTTAGAATTTTTTGAAGTGGTGGAACAATATGAAAAAAATTAAAAATTCATTTTTTTTCTAAAATCTTTTTTTTCTAAAATCTTCTCGGACTCATTTTTTTATAATAATCATTATGGTTTATTTCGGGCAAAGATGTATTTTTAATGAAAAAATATTTTCTACTCACTTTTTTAAACTAAACAAATATAAGTTAATTAAAACAGAAGATTTTAGAAAAAAAATGAGTTTTTAATTTTTTTCATATTGTTCCACCACTTCAAAAAATTCTAATAAATTCCTGAGTGTAACGGAGTATATAAAAGACATATTCTGACGATTTTTGTGAGTGGCATATTTCACAAAGGTTAAAAAAATGAAGATTTTAATTTTCTTTCCTCCGCCAAAAATCGGCTTTTCGTTTAAGAATCATGATTATATAATTTTTTCATGTCTTAGACTTCGAAGAATTAGAAAAAAATCATCATTAATTAATTTTGAATTTTACTATAAAAATAAAAATAAAATTGAAAAAACCAGTTTTTTTGAAAATCTCGAAAACCGTTTGGTTTGGTTTGGTATTAGTAATTTTAGTAAATTCTTAATTATTTCCTTCTCAATATTTTGATTTTTTTATAATTCTTTTTCTAAGTAAATTTATTGAAATAAATAAATCTAATGCATAAGCTATACCTATTCTGGTTATATTCTAATCATTTAAATTTTGATTGAAACCGAATTATATAGGTCTCGTCTCCATAAATAAGTACAATGTAGTTCCCTTTTCTCCGTGCGGCGACCACACATTTTAAAGCCTAAACAAACAAATTTCAACATGCCCCTCGCTTCCCTGCTCCCTTACCTCATTACATGCCCTTGCATCATTTCTTATTTAGTCTTTTTTTGTGTGCGGTACGCCAAAAAGTTACACATCAAAGTTATGTTTTTTGTTTTTGGGAACACCATATATATTAATTGATTTTTGGATTCTAGTAAAAAAAATAAAGGTTTGTTTCATTAGAAAAGTATATGACTAAAATGTATAGTTTTTGAAATACATTCACCGGCACGAAAAATGTGTACCTTAAAACTTTGATGTATTTTAAAGGTTAATATATTTTATTTTAATGGGCCGATGTTGATGATTTTTTAAGCAGTGTGTTGCCAAATTATTTGACTTCTTAGTATCTTTTTCTAAATTAAAAATGAAACACCCCATCTGTTAATTATACGAGGGAAAACAAAATGTTGATATTTTTGATGAAAGTTTGAAACACCCTGTGAAATATGTTAAAACAGCAAGAAATTTAAAAATTATTTTTTCATCTAGATACATCCTTTCTCGATGATTTGTTTTTTGGTTCATCTCATTAGCTTTATTTTTGTTGGAAATATTTGGTTTTAAAGAAGGCACTAATATTCTTCGTAACTTTTACATTAAGACCATATCTTTGCTTTTGGACCTAGTCAACACATCTAGTAAGTTCTGGTCCCGAAGCAGGCCTTCTTGACATTGAAGATTTGCTTCATTTAATATTTTTCTTGTAGTCTGTTAGTTAATATGTACGTTCCTTAAGTGCAATTCATTATCAATTTGAAAAGCTGGCAAACAGCCGCGGCGGTTTCTTAGCGATAAACTTACAATAAGTCGATCGTCTTGATTAGAAGTTCTCATACGAAGGTTCCTGGACGTCTATATTGACGTCGTCATGGGCATGGTCATAATTCAAAGACTATTTAATATACTTTATGGTATTAAGGTATTTTTGGATCCAGAATTATATAGCAAATTCACTAAACTAGACTCACCCTGTATATCTATGAAAATATTTTTGAAATGTGGACTACCATTAAACATATATTTTGTAAAAGGTTTGGAGTGAAAATCTCAAATAGGAATTCTGATACAGAGCTTTTCCGGAAAACGGAGCCATCTTGTATGTATGCATTTGAATATGTGTGTGTTTATTGAAATACTAAAATGAAAGCAACGAATTTAAATAGGTAAACTTTGTAATATATATTTTTAACAATGCAATGAAAAAAGTTTTATAAAAATTGGTTCACAGTAAATGAATTCCGAGGTTTGTATCTCATAAGGGCTTAAAGCCAGGGGCGTAGATAGGTGTATGCTATGGGGGTGGTACTATGATTAAGTCGCAAAAAAAATCACCGTCGGAATTTTTTTGTCGAATTAAAACGACGGCGATTTTTTTGTCTAAACATAACACAAAAATTAAAATATAGATTTGTAAATAACATACACAAAAATGAAACAACGACGTTTATTAGTTAATTTTCTATAAACCTGCTATAAACTATAAATAAAAAAATCTAAACTATCAAAAAAAACTATAAAAACTATAAATAAAACTACAAAACAAATTCAAGTTTTCTAGTACGCTGTTTGGAAAACCTATCAATAACAGCATCAACATTTATTTCAACATTTTTATGGATATTGATTAGAGTTAACCCCACTAATCTGTCCTGGCCAATAAGAACACTTTGTGTGCTTTTAATTAGGTCGAACATATTATAAACGATAAATCAACATAATTAAAAGCATACAAAGTGTTCTTATATGTCGGATATTAATTAAAAAAAATCCTTTCATAGTCAATGACTATTTCAATTCTCGTATCTCGTCAAGCGTCAGGGGGGGTACTGTCCCCCAGTACCCCCCCCTTATCTACGCCCTTGCTTAAAGCACTCCACTAAATAGTAATAAGTGAAAAAAACATGATTTTGGCCGGGAAATTTTTTGGAAATTTTGCTTTTGAATGTCTACCAAACCCTTCAGTTCTAAGAAATCAAAGTTTTAATTTCTCACCACAATTTTTTTTGACGGATGATAATTAAGGACCAAAACAACAGCAAAATAAAGCACTAAATTCACCACAATAGACCAAAACACTTTACTTTTAAACACTAGACGTGCATTTCGCTAATGTAAGCATTAAGTTTTAATAATTTGCTGATGATGCTAACATTGTTAGCAAAACACACAGTGTTTAAAATAAAGTGTTTTGGTGTTTTCTGGTGAATTAGTGTTTTATTTTGGTATAATTAGTGGAAAAAGATAAAAGTTTGTTAACCTTTTTCTACTAATTGAAAATTACTTCCACTAATTTGGACGTTCTGAATGCTTTCATTGAAATAAAAGGAACAAACTTCAACGCTAATTGAAACCACTAATTTATTACACTAATTTCGAGGTTCTCAATGAAGCTTAAATATTAATTGAATTACTTTTCAAATGTAAAACGAGAATTCAGAAAATTTAAATGGTGTTCTCTTTTCCAGGGTGGTTATTATACGGAGATGCATGAACAGTACTTTTTACATGATGATCGCCTGTCTCTGTTACGATTTCTTGTGCGAGATTAGAGATCCGGATATTACGAAGAGACCGCATATAATTCTTCATCCTTTACCTGGGACGCCTATCATCTCCATTAACATAGCAATAAACCTCTTGATGATAGGCTGGTTGGCAGCCATCATTAATATACACAAGGATATTCTAACGTAAGTAAAATAGAAAAGTAAAGTACAGTCTGTTGCATCGCCTACCTGAACATAGGAAATTTTAGAAATGATGAGTAAGTTACCTTACATTTTTCTGTAAAATAAAATGGGGAAAACTTATTCATCTTTTTTAAAATTTACATGTGATTTCCTACGTTGAGATCGACGATGCAACGCAGAGTATATTCAGGGCAGTGGGGCAAGTGGGAGTAATGGTTATGTTTCTGGTAGGCCCTAAATTAACTCACTAAATTTTGGTGTGTATTTCCCTTACTATTTGGGTATTTTTTATTCCGCATTATGCACCCCCTTTTGGTTAGAATTCAAAATTTGGTATTGATTGATAATAATAAGTATTTTTTTTAATTTCAGGTGTGAGGACGAATTGAGAGCAAAAAGAGGTAATAAGAAATATATTTTTAAAGTATTAAATTTCTAATCCAGGGTTAAATGGTGTATAGGGTGTCCCATTTTAGTTGAAATCATACGGTATCTCCGTTATTAGTGAGAGGGTCCATTACTTCATGGGTCCATTGCATTGGTTCCAATTCATTGATGAGAAATAATAATTTAACAAAATTCTAATATTTTCAAAGTTGTGAGGGGGAGCCCCATCTTGGCTGACAGTATATTTTACGTAAATTAGCTAAAGGTGTATTTAAAAGTTCCGGTACGATAGCTTCCAAGATTTACAAATAGCGGTTAGAGTTAATAAGTCTCTCTAATATACAGGGTGGTCCGAACTGTATTCCGGAAACTTCAGCAGCATATTCTGCAGGTAATAATAAGTAGAAAATTCGTATAAATGTATGTCCTAAAATGCTTAGTTCCGGAGATACAGGGTGTAGAAGTTTCATTTTTATTTCGATTTTTTCCAAATAACTTATGAAGTAACGTCAATATTTGGATGAAAAATGGTGTCTGGAAGTTTTCTGACATAAGAAATTTTATTTTGAGGCCAATATAACTCCTATTTGTAGAGGGCGCTATCTACATGTGTTTTAACTATTTTGAAGCGTAATAACTTTTCGTCCGTACCTGTATATAACTACTGAGTGAAAAAAATATACATTTCCGTGATTTTCTACGTAAATGTATATTTTTTTACTCAATAATTTTATACAGGTACTGACAAAAAGTTATTAGTTTCATATTGACATCAAAATCAAATTTCTCATTTCAAAAAACTCCCAGACACCAATTTTTATCCAAATATTGATATTACTTCAGAAATTATTCGGAAATGGAAAAAATCGAAATAAAAATGAAACTTTTACACCCTGTATCTCCGAAACTAAGCACGTTAGGACATATAGTACATTTATACGAACTTTTTTACTTATTTTTATTTGCAGAATATGCTGTTGAAGCTTCCGGAATACAGTTCGGACCACCCTGTATAAAGAATTTATCCCAAAATAAAACAAGAGACAGATAGCAGTATACTTTTAATATTTTTTTAGTTTCTTTTATTATCAATTATGGCCTAATATGATCTTTTAATAAAAACTTTTAAATATTGCAGTAAATAGTGAAAATAAATATAGAGTGATATATATATTTTTGAGAAGCTTATGACAAGCCAGATCATATAATTTATAAATATACGAAGAGGGCAATGCAAATTTTGTTGACGGCATTTTCCATTAGACAAAAAAGTGTGGCAGGTTTGAGCAAACCGCAACCTTCTATCTTCACTAATAACGGATATACCGTATGATTTCAACCAAAATGGTACCCTGTACATAGGTTTCCAACAATGCAACTAATCGCAAGTCGGCAGGCTGGTAACAAACAGCCTGTGATTATAGAATAAAGATAAAAAATATGTTTTCTTTTGACTTTTTTTCTGATGTCTTTTTACAGCCGAGAAACGCAGAGAAGCCAAGGAAAAGGCTCGACGCAGAGCGGAGAAGAGAGAGGCTCGTGCCAACGCTCCTCCATGGCAGTTCATGCCAAATCCAGAACGCGAGCTGGCGCCCAGAGGAGGCCTGCATAGACGCAAAAGAAGGCGGTAAACTAATTCTTCCAGGTTTTTTAACGACAAGAATGATGTTTATTTTTAATTTAATACGTTTCTTGTAAACCGGACAAAAAGTAACTGAAGTTAATGAAGATTTAGATAAATCTGAATAACTTATCTTTTGTTCTTAAATCAAAAACGTATTGTTTTAAAATTATATCGATTTTCTTGAAATATTGTGACTCGTTTTTTTAAATATTTTTAGTGTATTCTCTTATGTGTATTATTAGTAGTAATTATTTTTTATAATAATTCTTGGTTATAGACTTCAGATAAAAGTTTCTTATAATTGATTGGTTATTAACATTTTTTAACTGGATATTTATAGACTTGTAGTAGTATAGTTTAAAATTAATCATTTCGATTATTCACATTTTTTGTGTTTAATGAATGTTATTTCAATTTCAAATTTATAAGTATACTAAATATATTGGTACGAGTACTAAATCTTAACAATAGTTTTATTTTCCTTCCTAGTTTTAATGAAATAATAAATATCTGCTGACACTAAAATCATAAAATTGAAAATATCTAGAAATATATTTCTCTGAAGGGTAGGCAACCTTAATAGAATTTTGAAGAGATATGAATTCTCCACTGAATATCGGAATATTATACTGGGTGTTCCATTTAAAATAAAAGAGTAACTTGCTTTTAAAAGTTTATATGACTTATGTTGAATATTAATTTTGTCTCACCCTACATAAATTTTAGGGTCAAATTTTATTTTAATTTAAATTACAATGGCTATTTTAACTACATATTAGGCCATATCGGATAAATCCCATTTTAGATAACTTTTATTGAAATTTAAAATGATGGAATTTGTTAACAACCTTACAGTCTAGTTATATCATAGTTACATGCTTCTCTTATAAAACTCACCTTTATTTGTTTCCTAGAATCCGAAAATCAATTTATGTATAGGGTGTTCTATTACAAAAAACAACACAACTTTGATGTGTTACTAACTGTTGGACGCCTTGTAGAAATCTATATAATTTTATCATATACATATGCTCACAAAATTGCATTTCAATATAAATTGGATCTCCTTGGAGCCTCCGCGTCATATGGCGCCACCCTATATTTTACAAATAAGCTATTATACATGGTGTATCATAAAAAAATGATTGTTAGCCAGAAAATTGCCCTTTATAAAACTCTACAAACCTCATGGTTCAAAATTTAAAAAATCCAATTGCCCACTTCCGAAGATATTTAGGAAATCTAATATAACACTTAGAATTTAGAATTTAGAATGAGTGGGAGGGGGGTTAATCACTTCGACCTTACAGATCCATTGTGTCCCCCTTTCTTGAATCATAACTCATCATACAGTCCCAGGGCTTTGACAAAAGCCAGTATCTGGGACGGTTTTTAATATAACACTACTCAAAACAATTATCGCATATTTGAATAAAAGTACATTACTTATTTCTAAATAAAGCATGCATTTTTCTGCCTTTCTCTTGTGAGATTTTTTAGGATAATTAAGGTACGCACTGATATGTAATTTTTAGTTGGCCGACTATTTAGTTGCAAAAGTGAAAACAATACATTCTTATGGAGCCGATCTGTTTAATATTTGATTACATTGTGTAGCTTTAGGCTATGCGCTGACAGGCGATTTTTAATCGACTGAATATTTAGTTGCTTATATGTAGCCAATATATCCTTATGGAGCTGCGCTCATATGCAATCAAATAGTCGGCAAATAGTCGGTTAGGTTTAAAATTGTAAGTCAGGGAATTCAAAGTGTCTCGTTTTTCAAATTAATAGTTTTTTTAGAAAATATGCGATAATTGTTTTTAGTAGTTTAGCTACCTGGAGGGTCATATACAAATCTGGAATTGTAAAAAGTAGAAATTCCGATCTCAGCTCATGGCCATTTTTCACAATTCATCTTCATTATAATAGCCTTATAATAATAAATAACATATCAGCACATCCTTGAATATTATCATATATTAAATATTATCACACAAAAATTGGAAAGAGAAAAATTACAGCTTTAAATTTGTAACAAATTACTCATATTTATAACAAAGTCTTTTTATTAGTAATTCAATAATGTCATTGTATCCTCTCTTATAAATGACTGATATATAATTCAACATTATTTTACTTAGTTGATTAGTAATATACCCGGTGTCCCATATAAGAATGCACACTTTCAAAGTTTACAGAACATTACGAAGATATCGTAAACCAGAAGAGATACAAAGATTATTTTCGGTCACTTCCTGATGTTTCATAAGAAATTACTACAACTATTGATTTTTATATGGTACCCCCGATCTAAAATTGTTTCCTTTACTCGACACTAGAATGACATCTCATATGCCAATTTTTGACATTTTTGCTTAAATAAATGGTATTTTAAATTTCAATCTAGATTGCCACAACTATGTCCATAACAAAAATTTAACTCAAAATCAGGGTTGGCATGATTTAAATCAAGTGATTTTTTTAATTTTAATCATGTGATTTAAATAAGAAAAAATAATTTTATTGCAACTTTATTATAAATCAAAAAGTAACTGTAAAAGTTATAAAAATGTGTCCTAGAAAACTATAGAAATATTTCTATAAAAGATATAACAGACAATAAATCGAAAAGTAATTGTAAATGTTATAAAACTATATAAAAATATCTATTCATCAATTTAAATGTTGGACCGATTTTTGAAGTAGGTAATTTCGTGTAAATGCATTAGACCTCTAAAGGCAGGGATTTATTTTAAAACTTATATATACGCCTTATATAAGTTAAATTAAAATCGGGAGTGGTAAAAAAAACGAGGCATAATTCACTTGAGTTAAAAAAATACAGCAACCAAAACTAATTGAATACGTTAATAAATCCTGATTAATGTCATATACTTACATAACAATTCTCGTATTTTTGTCTGAAAAAAGAAAATAATTGTAGGCTTGAGCCACACTTGAAAAACACCCCGTATATAGAATCCAAAATAAAATACCTTCATATAATCCTTAGATTTAAAGAAAATTGTAGTCACTTTTATTCAAGAACCAAATCTTTTAAATTAATAGTTTTATCACCCTGTATTCTTTATTTTGGAATAATCCCACACAAATCATTGGAATATTTTTGCGTACATACAGACACATTCTGGTTACTATCAAAAGCTCTATTTCCTGTGTAACGTAATACGCGTAAATGTATATGATTCCTTAATGTTGGTTTTAGATATTATGTTGTAAGCTTCTGAAAAAATATATAATCGTCTAGATAAGAATTTGTTACAACTAAATTTACATGCTTTAGTTTACATTTAAAATTTTCAAACCATTTTTTAGTTTACATAGTGATTATTTTGCTATTATTTTAGGATAAATATATTTTATCCTTAACTTTTTTTTAAATTTTGAAAATTTAATTTGAATAACAATTTATTTTTAAAAATGTGTAATTATAAAAAATCTTAAAATGGAGTTTTCCACCTTCAAAAATAAAAAATACTCTACCCTGTTCAGGGTGTCCCAAAATTCGTGCCTCATCACTGAAGTCTCGGAAACTAAAACGGCCCATACATTATCAAACAATTTGCGCAACGCTGCGTTGCAGAACTGATTCAGCGGTCCATACACTATCAAACAAGTTGCGCAACAAAGCGATACGCAACGTTCCGTTGCACAACTACATCACCCATGCACTTAGTAAAATTTTGATCAAAGTTTTTATTAAAAGTTGTACATTGTTTGAGAAACAATCATGTCCTCAATTGCCATTGCGTCAATTATTATCGTATATACCCTAGATGATGTCGATGGTACCAAAAAAAGAAAACAAAGAATTTGGATGAAAGATCTAAAATATTGCACAACGAAGCGCAACACACACATTTGCACATTGCACAAAAGAATTCATACATTCTTGAAACTCATCAAACAATTGCGCAACGCATCAAACACTACCATACATTGGCAACTCGTTGCGCAACAGCCTGCGTTGCGTAATTTGTTTGATAATGTATGGGCCGCTTAAGAGATACGAGATCGCGGTTAAATAAAAGCACAACACGTAGGTTGCTTTTTAAGTTTTTACAATCGCTTGTTTCTTTGGTTGTATTGGACACGTCGCAACCATTCCATTGCAGGATCGAAGAACTGTTAATGTCGAACGGTATACAATTTTTTTTGCTAATGGTCTTCGCTGAAATAAGAAAAAAGAACAAAAAACGTCGCATCATTCGTCATCACGACAATGCCAGCTCCCATAAAGCACATCAAGCAACTGAATATTTGAAGGAGAAAAACATCGAATTAATGTCTCATTACCCGTATTCAGCCGATTTATCGCCTAATGACTTAAGCAGGTCGCCCATTGAATCGGATCGGATCGGATCGGCACGGAACAGTCCTGTCGGAATGATTTGAAATACGTAGAAATAGATTGACATCCGTGCACTGCTTCGGTCCCGCTCGGCAACGTCCATCCGTGGGCTTCGGGATCTGAGCGATGCCGTGCCGATCCGATCCGATTCAATGGGCACCCTGCTAAGACTTTTTTTAAAAACCTCAAGACTTTTTTTAATCACCTCAAGACTTTTTTTAAAAACTAAAAAGGCAATCTACGTAAAAGCGCAGTGTGATGCTGATCAAAATATAAACCTTTGAAGTTAAAAAGTTACTTGCGAAGAGTTTTGGAAAAAAATATAATTAATTTCTGTTTTTCTACGACTCTATTTGAACTCTGTAGAGCTCAATTTTTTCGACAAAGCTTCGATATGTATGTCCCATTTCAGAGAATTGTCAACAACAAGCCCTAAGAATTTTACAGATTTTACGACGTCAATGGTGGTGTTGTTAAGTACAAAAGGCTGCAACGAGTTTTTATACGACAAAGCCTTAGTTTTAGAAATGTTGAGACTCAGGAGGTTCGAATCGCACCAAGATTTAATGGTGATTAAGTCATTTGATATAATCCTATGAAGTGCCGCAATGCCCTTGTTGCTCCAAGTGAAGCTAGTGTCGTCCGCAAAAAGACATATTTTGCCACTGATGTTTATGTTAGCAATGTCGTTAATAAAGAAGAAACAAAATAGGGCCTAGTACTGAGCCTTGTGGTACTCCACATTCTATTGGCTTGCTAGAAAGACAACGTGGTATCCACCCTCACAAGTTGACTTCTGTTGATCAGATACGACTTAAACCATTCGAGAGATGATCCCTGAACCCATAGTGCTGCAGTTTATTAATTATGATCTTATGATTTACACAATCGAACGCCTTAGAAAAATCACAGAAAATTGTTGCTTAACCCAGAATGATGGTTGTTTAGGCTGGAGTAAATATTTTATTAAACATAGCGTCATTTGTGAACTTGTTGCTTAGAAATCCAAATTGATATTCAGTAAGTATTTTGTACTTAAACAGAAAAAATACCAGCCTGCTTTTAACCAACCTTTCTATGATCTTAGATAGCGTTGGAAGGAGTGCAATTGGGCGATAGTTAGAAGCTTCATCTTTGTCTCCTCCTTTGAGCAGAGGAATTATTATTACCGTCTTAAGACATTTTGGAAAAATACCATTTTGGAACGACATGTTTATTAAAGTTGTTAGGTGATTCAGAGTGCTTTCTGGCAGATTCGAAAACATTTTTAAAGTTAGCCCGTCGGTCCCAGAAGAGGATTTATTTTTGATGGTACTAATTGTACTGCCGCTCTCTTCAAGAACTACTGGCGAAAAAAGAAACTGTGTAAGTTTACATTATCATTTGAGAGATAAGAAAGTGGATCATGAGGAGGACATATGGTATTAGTTAAGTTTTTCGCTACATTTACAAAGTAATCGTTAAGGTAGAAGCTTGTTTCTCAACTCATTCACAATAGACCATGTTTCCTTAGCAACATTACCAGAATTGACTATTCTCCTATTATAATAAAGGTCCTTAGCGGCTCTTATAGTCTTATGATAAATTTTTCTGTATAGTTTTACGTAAATGTAGAAGAAGAGACTGTGTAAACAAGGAGTGCGGTAATGAAAATGCGTTAAGAAGCTCTTAACTCACTCAAAATGCGTGAGTTAAGAGCTTCTTAACTCACTGACGTAGATAAATGATATTAAACATGCAAATAAACTTAGTTCCAGACGTTCCAGTATCTTTCCTACTAAAATTAATTTATTACCAAGCCACGAAGACAAAAGAATCTGACACAAGCATTCTTTAATGTGTTTCATTTTAACAATTCTACTAACGTACGCTTGCAAATATTCACATTGCCCTGGTAACATAAAACGATATGTAAAAATATGCAAATTAAAATTACGTCTACCTGTAACACACTTATCGCTGACTGTATTTCTCAACTAGTACTATAGTAGATAGGTACTTCGTTGAAAATATTATACATCAGCAGAAAACGTGACTTTTATTATTATATTCGTGGTTATTTTCAGAAAAAAAATAAGACGGCAATTTGACCTAAGTAAAACGACTTCGACTTAAAAATTATAGGAAAAAAACTAAGTACTACATGGTATGGTAGTACTGAGAACAGACTAAAAAAAGAACAACGTTACCAGTGATATTGAAATGTAAACATATGCTGAACTCGTTTTCATGTTAATATGTGGTCGCGGTTGTAAGTGGTTTTTTTTAGTCATCGGTTGACGATAAGAAGTAAAGATCTGTGCCTGAAATAGTGTAGGATGGTCCAGACTCTGTGAAAGAGTTCGTACACGTGACTGTGTTAATTATCAACGAGGAAATTGTGTAATTTTCGCGTAATTATCAGGTTTTTCCGCTTTTAATGAAACGAGCGCTTGGGACTTCCGGTAGTAGTGTTTTTGATGTTATCTATAGTGTATGGAGTCTAGGATTAGGTGCTCTTAACAAGTTTGTAAGTATTTATCCTTTTTTTTAATAACTTTCAAGAACAAATATTAAAGAGATATTAATTATTTTTTATATACCGCGTGGTGGCATCAGAACGCGGGAGATAGGAAATCTCATATCATTTTGAAAAAGTCAAATATCTCCCCAGATGATTTTTTGCAAAAATTGTATTAGACTTTTTTGAAAAGGCGTTAAAGTTGTACTGTCGTGTAGTATTTCGCTTTATTTGGAATAGGCATCTAAAAGTTATTTGCAAAAATCTACCTTCAAATTACAAAAAAATTATAATACGGCCCAGAGAAAGCTACAAATTAAAATACCAGCAAAAATATGAAGTCAATTTTTTTTTGTTTACTAGAATTTTTGTGGTTTGAAAAAGGTGATTAATTTTTTTTCTGAATTGGAATGATCATCTACAAAAGAATTAGTTGAACTGAGAATAGTATTCGCGGTGTTATTGTTTGTTGTTCATTACTCGATCACTCGCAGGCCTCGCTCATACCACATTGATCCAAAATAATTCAAGGGAGAATTGAAATATTTTTCACACAAGGAACTTTATTAAACTTGCCATTACCCATTCCAGCGAAACAATACTAATAATCTATACTAATACCGTATGATCGAATAAAAACGGCGTCAACGATGGCTATGAAATGAAGATCGCTGTCATTTTATATGTAAAATTATATGGGAAATGTCATCGATCGTCATTTCCAAGCCAACTGGACGCCGTTTTTTTTCGATCATACGGTATATAAAATCCTTAAGTGATTGACTCACTGATTAATCACGATCCTGCTCAAACCACTCAACGTAAGAAGCTCAATTTTGGCATACAGGTTGATTCTATGGTGTAGAGGTGCGATAAGAAGGGATTTTTCGAAATTCCAGTTCCAAGGGGGTGAAACCACCTCTCAAATATTACAATATTTTTTATTTAAAAAAACGGTCAAGTTTCCGAAAGAACACTTAAACACGTATATTTTATTTTGTTTTTTTACATATTTTAAGATTTTTTTTAAATGTATACAGGGTGTTTCGAAAAATCTGGTCATTGAATAATCACGGTCCTGCTTAAAGCGCTTGGCGTAAAAAGCTAATTTTTGAAAAACGGATTGACTTTAGGGTGTAGAGGTTCGTTAAGAAGGGGTTTCTCGAATCTCAAACTCTAAGAGGGTGAAAACGCCCCTCAAATATTACAATATTTATTATTTAAAAAACGGTTAGTCTTTCGGGAAAACGCTTAGACACACATAATTTATTTTGTTTTTTTACATATTTTGAAATTTAAAAAAAAAAAAATTACAGGGTGTTCCAAAAAGGTGGGTAATTGATTAACCACGATTCTGCTTAAACTGCTTGATGTAAAAAGCTTATTTTTGATAAACGGATTTTACGAAAGTCAAATTCCAACGAGATGAAACTACCCCTCAAATATTACCAAGTTATATAATAATATCGCCATATTGTTTTTTCTCATGCTGACATAAATGTGAGAAAATTTTATCCAGTTTGTATGTTAATGGAAATTCTTGCTTTGCTTTATCATCACCATTACAAATTACTAATTTGACGCAAACCAAGTCGCTGGTACACGCTAGTAATATAATCCGCGGCACCCCCCTGTCGATTTTGCCAAACCCAAAATGTCTCCGATTTCAACTAAAATATGCTAACTGATTACTACTGTTCATTTTACGTAGAATTGACTGCCAAAAACCGTTTTTCGATATCTGTAACAGATCTTGAGTTATTTGAGAAAATGTACAAAAGAAATATTTTTTTCACTTTTCCGAAATGTTTAACAATGAATTTCTCTGAAACAAAAAGTGTAAATCTCAAAAACGAAACGGTTTTGTAAAGTGCATTTTCAGGACTACAACATATTACGAAATAAGGAAAAACAAATTTTCAAAATTTTTTTAAAAAATTCCTCGGCACTCCCCTGTCGATTTTGTCAAAAACCAAAATGTCTCCGATTTCAACTAAAATGTGCTTACTGCTAGTTCATTTTACGTAGAATTGACTGCCGCAAACCGTTTTTCGATATCTGTAACAGATCTTGAGTTATTTGAGAAAATGTACAAAAGAAATATTTTTTTCACTTTCCGAAATATTTAACAACGAATTTCTCTGGAACAAAAAGTGTAAATCTCAAAAAATAATATAATGAAATTATATACAATCAATATTTAAAGCAATTTTTTTACATAATATGTAACTCAATTGCACAAGTTTTCCATTTCAGTAGCGAAGTACCCAACAGTTCCAGACATTATTTAATATATGAGTTAGGTATACTGGTGGCACCTAATAGTAGTAATAAAAAAAATGTAATCATTTTTCTTTAATTTTTCCATGACTAACTATCATTAAACAAATACCAATAGGAAAACCAAATGACTAAAACATGTTGTTGTAACACAATTAAAATTAATATATGGCATACTAATACAAACGTGCTTCAATTTAATTTTAATTTCATTTCATTTAAAGTTGATCATTCAAATTTTATGTCTGATAATAAACATTTTCAAAAGAAATAAATAAATGAAAATAGATGCAATTTAGTGATGGAATTATTACTACAATACCGACTTAACAATTAATTATTTCTCTAAAAATTCGTAATTAATATTATACTTATTTTTTATGCTATTTGCATTACAGTATACCGGGTGCTTATAGGGATGAGCCACTTTTAAGACCCACCCGGTATACAGTCGCTCCTGGCTTTTGTTTAAGAGTATACCTAAAGAATGTAGGTACTAAGAAAGTGTGAGTGAATAGGGAACTTCAAATAGAACTTCAAAATAGATCACCCCGTATATTATTGCATTTTTGGCTTCCTTTCAGATCAAAAATAATAAAAATAGATGAGTCATGAAATCAAAACTATGCCCTCTAGGTATTTACTACATTTGCTCTTACTTACTTTATTATTTTTATATTGTAATATTCTGTACCAAACTTTCTGAAACATAAAATTATGTTTCTTTGCTTTTTATGTAACACTTTGTATATTATTTTCTTTTAAAAACTGTTTATTTAAATACAATGAAAACTACACCAAGGCTATGGAATATTGGCAGGTTCTGTTATTTCTAAAATTGGATTTTCTTTTTAGTAAAAAACGATTTTTTGTTGTTATAGTAAGCAATACTCTTTTTGCAAAAATGTTCAGTAGCGTAGCGACTTTTCGAAATAGTGAACATTTTTCCATAGAATTTTGATATTAAAGCACGTATCATATGCATTGTTTCTATTCTTTTTCTTTTCTTTACTACGCGTAACATAAAAAAATCTATTGTACACCTCCAAGTCAAGGAAATATCAAACGGAAAGGACAGGACTGACAGTATCATGCACGCCTTTATAATCCAATCAAATTAATCGATATGAGAGGGGTAATAAAACATCATTAATCTATAATTTACATTTGGAGAGTTTTGCTACAACTCGTTTTAACTTTTTTTAAAGTAGAGATTGACAATAAATAAAATATATTCTTCCCTTTGAATGTGATAGACAATGATTCAGTAAAATATGTATGTATGTCATCATCATCATTCTCAACTTATTCAACCATTTCTAATTATGGTGCAGCCTCCCTCGCATATTTAGATACTCTTTGTAGTTGGGCCCATTGTTGTCTATTGTTGGCTATGCGGGCCCAAGTTATCCCTGCTAATTTTCTAATATCCCATCTCAGGTTTGGTCTTCTTCTAGGTCTCTTAATTCATCGTGGATGCCATGCTGTAAATTTAGTGGTCCATCTGTTGTCTGTTCTTCTTGCCAGGTGTCCTGCCCATTGCCACTTGAGGGATTTGATTCTGTGGATGACATTCTATTACCTGGGTCTTTTGTCGTATCCACTCTATTCTTTTACGGTCTTTCTTAGTTATCCCAGCATATTTTGTTCCAATGAGCGTTGTGCGACCTACAGTTTCCTTATGATGTCCGTTTCAAGTGTCCAGGTTTCGATAGGTCCTGACTGGTAGTACACTTTGGTTTGACATGCTAGATTTGAATATGATTGAGTTTCTTCCATAAGTACTCAATGCTGTTTCTTCCATAAGTACTGCTACTTAATTCTTCTGTTGATTTCTGGTAGTAGAGATCCCGAGCTGTGTATTAGTTGTCCCAAATATATTCTTCTGCTATTTTCAGTGTTGTGTTATTTATTGGAATGTCTTTTCTGTCTACTAGTTCGTTGAACATAACTTTAGTTTTTCTTCTTCTTCTTTCAGTGCCTATCCTCTATGGATGTTGGCAATCATGTTGGCCCACATAATCCTATTGACAGCCGCCCTGAATAGATGTACGGTCGTCATTCCCGTCCACTGTCTAATATTTTTCAGCCATGATGTTCGTCGGCGTCCCTGACCTCTTCTACTATCTATTTTGCCCTGCAGTATCAGTTGGATAAGTTGGTATTTATCATTACGCATCACATGCCCAAGGTATGCCATTTTTCTCACTTTCACACTATGTACTATTTCTAGTTCCTTTTGCATTCACGGTGTTGTTTGTGACATGGTAAGTGTATGAGATCCTGAGCATGCGGCGATAGTACCACATTTCAAAGGCTTCCAAGTGTCTAGATGTAGCATCTGTCAGGGTCCAAGCTTCCACTCCATATAGGAGCGTGGAGAATACGTAGCACCTTAAGACCTGTGTTCTTATAGCAATATTCAGGTGCATATTGCATAGAATTTTTCTAAGACGGTTAAAAACGGTTCTGGCTTTTTCTATGCGGCATCTGATCTCTCGTGAGTGATCCCATTCCTTGTTCAAGCTGCAGCCCAAATACATGATTGTATCTGCTGTTTCCAAGGTTTCGTTATTCGCCCTAAACTGGTGGTACTGCGCCTCATCATTTTTACTAACTACTAGAATTTTGGTCTTCTTGCAGTTAAGCCTCATACCATACATATCACATGCCTCTACTACTCGGTCAATTAATTTCTGCAATCCCTCAGCACTATCTGCTATGAGAAC